ATTGGTGGTTTGCAGGTATATGGATGGTGAGCAGCTGACGGAGGAAGATGAAAAGGTTGTGGTGGAAAGGCTTCTTGCTCATCATCCACACTCGGAGGATAAAATTGGCTGCGGAATTGATTCTGTCATGGTAACTTTTTTTCCTCCACCATTTACAGTCTGAGATTGCCTTGTTATATTGTCTATTAATTGAATTTCTTGTGTAGAATTTAGGTTTTGATTGTAATCAAATATATATAATATTGAGGGTAAGTAACTCATTAGTCATTGCCAATATTTGCTGTGGTGCAAATGATGGTTTTTTGAGCAATGGTGCATTCGTTCTTTTGGAATTGAGCCCCGAATTAGTTATATATGGTGTTGATACTAATGCACCGATCAAATTTTGGGTGGGCCGAAAAATTTAACTAGAAATGGGTGTCATCAAATTATTGACTAGGAAGGTCTATTTTAAATTTGTAGTAACTACCAAGTTGTTTGTTGTTGTTGTTGTACCAAGTTGTTTGTTGAAGTGTGAAGGATGGTTTGGAAGACGCACTGTTGTGTGTCACAAATCACCGTTGGTGTGACTGCACAATGTGTGCCTTCTTTTAAGTATGATAGTTTATGTTGTATAGAGAAACAAGACCGTTGATGTTTTCATGAGCGGTTCGGGTTAGTGGAAAAATGGTTTCAAAGGTTGAAATCATAGAATGAGGGTTTAGGGTTTGTGTATTAATTTTGTGGTGACATATTGAGTGTTGAAGACTAAAACTTGAACATGTTTGAAAGGAATGCAGTGGGTAATTTAAAAAATCATGGTTGTTCTGAAGTATAAGGAGGCCTAAATGTTCGTCCTATTTGCACCAATCTCTTACTCATCGCTTCTTAAAAACATTATGATGCCAATCATATTACCCTCGTTGATTCAATTCCTTATCTTTATATGCCCTTCTCTCCCTGTTACCTCCTCCCTTCCCCGTCCACTTCCTTCACCTCTTCTTCCCTGAGAACATTGGCACTTGCCTTTAGGGTTATCTATTTTAAGTTTAAAAGAAAGAAATTGAAAATATTGATGAATAATATGAGAAAGTTAAACAAACTTTAGGGAAGCAAGTATAAAGATTAAAAATGTCAGTCTAAATACAAGCACACTTAAGGAAATATCCAGTGAACTCAACATTATCAGAGTACCCCTAACTCCTTGAACTAAAACGCTAATGTCTTAACAAACACCAGGACGCTTATTTTTTAACAAAAGCTTTTGATGTTGTTGCTCTTCTAACGTTAAGGAGTGTTTTTGAAAACAGATTCTCTAACCAATCAAGTGCAATGGTGTCATACCTCCTTGTTTTCAGCCTGTCTTTTACTATTTTTAATATGCTATTGCTGACGCGTCATTCCAGTTATTGTTTCAACCAGAAGATCTAATAAGAAATTGGTGTTACCAACCTATGTAATAGGAAACCTTGGATGAATGCAAGATTTTAACTGTATTGCAAGTTGCAACTGAATAATAAGACAAACGATTGAAGTATCGTTGCACAAACATAACGACTAAGAAGATTATGGCATCTCTTAATGACTATGTGAGTAGAAAAGCATTTATCTAGGCTGAAATTAACTTTTTCCCCCTGTGTAAGATGAGTTCAATGGGAGACCAGTCACAGGTGCTATAGCTTAATGAGCTACATGCCTTTGCATTTTTCCCTACCACTTTAACCTTTTTTAGTGCATGTCCTAAGCAATTGGGCAAGGGTTTGGAACTTTAGATCTGCACGTTCATAACTTATCCTTGACTATTGGGGTTATTTTTCCTCAATTATTTTCTACAGATTGTTTATTTCATACCTTTTCAATACAATTCAATGATAGCGGAAGCTGGAAGTGTAAACTCTTAAAATTTTGGTCTAATTTTTTTCTACTGTTTCTTTGGCTACTTTTTCATTAGGACGTTGGTTCAGACATGAGTTACGAGTGTAATATGTAACCGTAGATAAAGCTCTTTCTATTATTGTTTCTGTGTATTTCTGTGACATGAAATTATCTGTCTCTATCTCAAAACTTCTCTTCTTGAGTCTGATCTTTATTTGAATAGAACTTAAAATGACTTTTTATTGACATTAAATGACTTTTTATTGACATTAAATTTTAAGTTATTGATTTCTGAACCAGTCCTCCTTTCTATATGATCAACCTTTATTTCTGTTAAATTCAGGATATTTCTGTCAAATCAACCCCTCTACTAGAATTGATGGTTTCAAAGGCTGAAATCATAGAAAGAGGAATTTAGGGTTTGTGTATTATTTTTGTGGTGAATGTATTGAGTGTTGAAGACTAAAACTTGAACATGTTCGAAAGGAATGCACCAGGTAATTAAATGTCATGGTTGTTCTGAAGTATAAGGAGGCCTAAATGTTCATCCTATTTGCACCAATCCCTTACTCATCGCTGCTTATAAACATTATGTACCAATCATATTACCCTTGTTGATTCAATTCCTTATCTTTGTATGCCCTTCTCTCCCTGTCACCTCCTCCCTTTCCCATCTACTTCCTTCTCCTCTTCTTCCCTGAGAACCTTGGCGCTTGCCTTTACAGGTATCTGTTTTAAGTTTAAAAGAAAGAAATTGAAAAATATTGATGAATAATATGAGAAAGTTAAAGAAACTTTAGGAAGGCGAGTATAAAGAGTAAAAATGTCAGTCCAAATAGAAGCACCCTTATGGAAAATGTCCAGTGAACTCAACATTATTCAAGTACCCTTAACTCCTTGAACTAAAACACTAATGTCTTTACTATTTTTAATATGCTATTGCTGATGGGTCATTCCAATTTTTGTCACAACCAAAAGATTTAACAAGAAATTGGTGTCACCAACCTATGTAATAGGAAACCTTGGATGAATGCAAGATGTTAACTGTATTGCAACCGAGTAATAGAAGAAACCATTGAAATATCGCTGCACAAACATACACAACTAGAAGTTTGTGGCATCTCTTAATGATTATGTGAATAGAAAAGCATTTATCTAGCCTGAAATTTATTTTTGTCTCCTCTGTGTAAGATGAAGTTCAATGGGGGGCCAGTCACAGGTGCTCTAGCTTAATGAGCTACAGGCCTTTGCTTTTTTCTTACCACTTTAACCGTTTCTAGTGCATGTTAGGAACTTTAGATCCGCGTTTTCATAACTTATCCTTAACTATTGGGGCTTGTTTTTCCGAGATTATTTTCTACAGATTATTTATTTCGTACCTTTTCAATACAATTCAATGATAGCGGAAGCTGAAAGTGTGAACTAATAAAATTTTGGTCTACTTTTTTTCTACTGTTTCTTTGGCTACTTTTTCCTTAGCACTTTGGTTCAGAAACCAGTTACGAGTATAATATGTAACCGTAAATAAAGATCTTTCTATTATTGTTTCTGTGACGTGAAATTAGCTGTCTCTCTCTCTTTCTCAAAACTTCTCTTCTTTAGTCTGATCTTTACTTGAGTAGAACTTAAACTGACTATTTGTTGACATTGAATTTGTCAACTATTTATTTGATTGAATTTCAAGTGCTTATTGATTTCTGAACCAGTCCTCCTTTCTATATATGATCAACTGTTATTTTATGCGATGTGGATTCTTGTGTTTGTCTATGCAAACTAACCACTTTCTTTGTAACTCGTCTTGCTGAAGGTTGATCGGCATCCCCAATTTAGACACTCGAGGTGCCTATTTGTCATAAGAACAGATGGTGTATGGATAGACTTCTCCTACCAGAAGTGTCTTCGAGCATATATCCGAGATAAGTACCCATCCCATGCAGATAGATTCATTCGGGAACATTTTAAACGTGGTAGTGGCTAAACATGCGTTACTCCTTCCTAACGCTTGTGTTGGGGGTTTAATTTTTGCTTTGGTAATTACAGATGCGTATGAAATGATATTCCAATTATCCATTGGAAGGGGAATGTCTTTCGGTTTCAGATCTTCAGTGACCCACATGTATCTTTAAGAATGACAACAAAGAAAATTATTGAACTTCACTTTGTTGACTTGCATCTCCTTTCCTTGGCTTTGAACATTTTTTTTTTCAAAATTTTTTTTATGACTTTTGGGTTTTTCTGTCTTCCTAGGACCTGCTTTTACTAGGGTTGTTGATTTACTTAGAAGTCCTCAAAGCTCATTAGATAACAACCTGGCTCTCTTTCATTGATTAGAAGCTTTGTCAATCGTTTTAGCTTAATTAGAGAATTTAGGTGGAGGAAAATATGGGAGTCCTTCGTCGGGTATTCAGGACTTGTGCCAATATGGTCCATCAGTCCGAAGACGTTCGATGTGGTGATCACTGATCTTGTAGCTTTTTGGTTGACCTACGATGGAGATAATAGCATTGCATTGTGATAAAGGATGATGATAGGAATGTGTGTCCATGTTTGGCTGTGATTAACAAGAGAAAAACTTCGGTAAGGTAAGCTGACCCCAACTTTCTCATATGGTGGGTCGGGTGAGAGCTTCCCTCGGATGACATAGTCGAGCACCCTTTGCCTACTTTTTATCGTGTTTAATGGGCCGGCAATGGATGGTCCATCCAATAGGACTTGGTCTTGATCAGCTTAAAAGTCTGATAATTTGAAGTTATTTGCCTACGTGGTCCCGCACTTTTTACCAACTAGTAGAAATCGAGTAGTTGAGACTGGTACTGTTAGTCAAAAGAGTCAAGCTCTCACAGATGGATGCTGTCTAGACTTCAGGGGACTTTCTTGAGTACTCCGGAGCATCCAAGATTATTTGCGCTGTCAAAACCGTGAAATGGCTGGCTGCAGGAATGTGGTTAATGTTGAAGACGAACATCATATTTCTGGTGGTAAATTATGCTCAGAAGAAATGCTCCCTATAGGCAGTTACCCTACAAACATTTTTATTCTTTGAGGCATAGAAACAAAGACTTTCCTCACCCATAAGCTTTTACGTTCGTTAATTTTTGAACAACACACTAATATGGTGATAATGTCTTCTTTGCCAGTGGTAGAGATGGCAAGATATAGGTTGCTGCATTTAATGCCGTGAGCCTACTTAACAGCAAGTATGGCTTGCATATCATCGATTGTTTCTCGAATCACAGGTTTCTTGAATTTCCTATAGTATTTACATAAAATTTGCACTCTACTCTGCAGGTCCAGTGAATTAACATTTTAGTCGTTTGACAGCATTTTTCTGAGAAATATATAGGAAGTTGTATTAAGATCACCTTTTGTGTTGTATTCTTGGTTCTGACTTGTACCGGAGACCTCAAACAAGTCTGGAGCTTTTTGCATTATACTACACACACCACGCAATGGAGCCTTCGAATGTGCCTATGTCCAGACGATCTTCATTCTGCCCGAAAGCAAAGGAAAAGACCATTCTAGTGAAATCTGTAACGCAGCAGCCAAGCACCGGTTTTAGTAATGCATGCAGCTTTCTCTCCATTTCCATCTCACTTCTTGTAAAGAGAACGTATGTGAGCCCTGCGTTCATTAACAGCACTCGCAACAGTCAGGCGGGCAGGATTAATGAAAAAAAACTTGAAAAGGTCAACGAAGTATGCATGCATAAACACAACACCCCAATTAATTTGAGATTACCTGTTTCCGCACTCTTCCTTTTCGATGATTTTCGATAATTTTGTGACTATAAATTGTTACTTTCTTGCATATAGTTTTGGGATTAAAAATAAAATAAAACTAGAGCATTGCAAGTCACGATATTGGTGCACTTAGTGCTGAGAGCCCACTTAACAGCAAGAATGGATTGCATATGATCGATTGTTTCTTGAATCACAGGTTTCTCTCTTTTCCTATAGGCAACCTTTTGAGTTTTCTTCGGTTAACACTTGTCTAATTTTTAAATCTGTATTTTTCGTTTTGCAAAGTATAATTGCCCAAGATTGTTGCACGTTTTAAGAACCCTGCATTCTACCTTTAGTTATGACAGGCCTTGCACTCTGGCGAACTGAATCTGAGGAACATTCATTTTTAGTATATTTTGAATAAGCAAAACTCATTTAACTCACAACTTTAGACTTTAGACTTTTGAACAGCAAAGTTGTTACTTGCTTAGCATATGGCATTTCTGGAAATGATTTGATTTCTAGATTAGAAGATGGCGTGGTTCGAGTTTGGGATGCTAGAACTCATAATATTCTTCGCGTGTTCAAACATGCAAAAGGTTATCTCAATTCTATTTGAATTATTTCCTTCCCCGGGTGTATGCATATTTGATGATATTGAAGCAAATTTAGCTGTATTTGATTAGCACTATTTCATAATACATGTATGCATAAACTAAACACCCCAATTAATTTTGAGATTACCTGTTTCTGCACTCTTCCTTTTCGATGATTCTTGCACCCAGCCAAAGTCAGCTCCAATGTAATGGTTTCGGTTTATTTCAGGCAGCATTGTTTTGTACTCGGGACCTGTAACTAGTAGCAGCTAAGTCTCAAATTCAGAGATTTTAAAAATAAAATAAAACTAGAGCATTGGGAGAGGAGGAATCGTACTCGGGACCTGGAATATGGTCTTAACCGAGTTACAAGTCCCTTGCAACATTATATATGCAGTTCTGCTTGTCTAGTTGGAATCTTGTCTAGTTGGATTGATGTAAAATGAATAGACTGAGTTGGTAAATAAATAGAAAAGAGCTTAATTACCACAAGTGGAAGGCCTCTCATGCAACTAAACAGCTTCCTCTGTTTCCGCTATGCCTGAAGTGGAAGGCCTCTCAGGTAACTCAATAGCATCCTCTGGTTGGACTCTGCCTCTTATTTCGATGTTGGGGATGTGAGAAATCTTGGGCCACTCCTTTCTGCCTTTCTGGCAACCTCGTGCAAGACTATCACAGGAGCTGATTTCAAGCGTCTGAAGTGGTGTTTTCCGCAAGAAGTCTGGCAGTGTTTTTAGCCGATAGCAGCTCTGAAATTGTAAAGAAGAAAGGCATGACATTATGGTAATATGAGAATCCTCTTCCTTCCACTCTTCCACTCCTTTCCACTCTTCCCACGCCGCCATCAAGTAAAATAGGAGTTTTTTAAGTTTTGGGAATAGAGTAATGCATGATGATGCTGATGACGTTTCCTTTTCTATTCCCAGAAACTCAACTCCAACCTTTTTGCTCCCTTCATACCATTAATCTCCAGCCTTTCGAGGGACGGCAATATTCCCAAAGGAGGTAAAACTTCACATTTATTCCACCATGCAAGATCAAGAACTCTCAAATTGTTTAATGACATGATCCAGTTGGGGGCAGTGCTTCCATTATAGCCATCGATTCTCAAATATTCCAAATTTGGATGCGGTTGTAAGAAATTCAGTATTTCCGTAGTTCCACACTCCTTAAACTCTATACTCAATTCTGAGAGTTGTTGTTTGTTCCCCAGCTCACCCGCAGCAACTTTCACATCCCCAACAATTTCTATGCTGAGAAGACGAAGTTGGTCTAAGTTTCTCAAATCTCCCAATTTGAACGCTTCATCGTCGTCTTTACCACCGCCAACAGGGCTCTGATCTAGTCTTCTTAGATTTGTTAATCTCCCAATCCCTTTCGGCAAGTACTTCAGATTACGACAACCCCGAACATACAGATGCTTTAAGTTAATCAACTTTCCCATGCTCTGAGGTAGACTTTCAAGTTTCCAACAGTAGTCAAGGCGCAATGTCTGCAAATTGTATAAATTACACACCCCATTCGGTAGCTTTTTCAAACCTCTATTTTTAGACAAATCAATGAACCTCAGATGCACCAATTTACCTGTCTCTTCCGGAAGCACTTCAATAGAATTATCACTCAAATTCAATGTCCTAAGATGTTTCAACTGTGACATCAAGGTTGAGTCGACAACGGTGAATTCTGAATCAAAAGTTGCAAGAGTACGTAGATCACAGCTGGAAGACAAAACACATGATAGTGGACCCTCCGGTGCAAGCACTAAGGTCAAATGGCGGATCTTATCACCCAAGGCTTCTGTTGGATCGTTACCACCCTTGACCTCCATTGTAAAGCATTCATTTTGATTAAGAAACACAAGAAAGTCATGCACAATATCATGCATTTTACACATACAGATATCTCCAACATCATCTTTTTTAAAGTCTTGGAAGAAAGATCGCATTACTAAATTATCAAAACACCTTTGGCCAATTATTTCCTTCTCTGTGTTTCCTTTCGAATAGAGATAATCTTGTGACATCCACAACTCAATCAAATAATTTTTATCGATCAAATGATCTTTTGGAAAGATAACACAATATAAAAGGCATCGTTTGACCGTAGGTGCCAAATCAAAATAACTCAGTAATAGTGGTTGGAAAACTTGTTGCTCAACCTCTTCAAGGTCCCATATCTTACTGTTCAAAACTTCTTGCCATTCTATCCTCGTTTTCTTGTAACGCATGAGACTGCCCAGAGTCTTTGCAGCAAGAGGCAAACCCTTGCACTTTTTTGTTATTTCTTCACCAATGGCTTCCAACGCACCATCTTTATCCGCATTATAAAATGCCATGCGGTTGAATATTGACAAACAATTTTGTTCGCTCAACCTCTCCAAATAGATGGTGTGGGTAGGAGCTCCCATCATATCAGCAACCTTCTGTTTTCGTGTGGTCACCAATATTCTACTGCCACAATCGCCACTTTGTATTAATGGCAACTTCAATTTCTCCCACTTTCTTTCGTCTTCAGTCCACACATCATCTAGGACAAGGAGAAACTTCTTTCCCTCAATGGATTTAAAGATACATTGCAATAAAGTTTCCAATTCATCTGAATTTGGGGGGGTAGCTCCGACACCCTCAATGATGGCCTTGGCAATTTTGATCTCATCAAAAGGGTCCGAAACACAAACCCATATTTTGATCTTAAAACAGGCTTTAACATTTTCATCGTTAAAAGCCAGTTGGGCCAGAGTTGTCTTCCCCATTCCTCCCATCCCGACAATAGGGATGACAAGGAGGCTCCTCTCTTCTTGACGACTCTCATTCAACAACTTGCTGACCAAATCTTTCTTTTCTTGTTCTCTACCAAATATCATAGATGCATCAACAAAAGAAGAAGTTTTCTCTCGCTCGGGTTGTTCAATGGTCGTTCTCTCTGTGAGGAGAAATTTATATCTCTGTCCTTGCTCAGCAATCGCATCTAAATTTTCATTCAGACTTTTGATCTTGCCAGCAATCTTACGACCATGAATTACCCGTCCGACTTGATCAAAACAAAAGCAAGAGGAGAGAATAGAGAAACATACCGCCTTCATCTTCGTCACAGTAACAAGACAAGTACTTCCACCGTACTCTTCTTGTTTCTCAACTTCTTGTTTCAGTATTTCAGTGTTCCACTCATCAAGCACATTGTCCATCTTGTACGACACCTCTGTCAGCTCCTCCAGCCAATTTCTGACGCTGGCCTCCTTCACTTGCCTCTGCTCCGCATCTGCAAGCACAGCACTAATCGCTTTAAGCTTGGCCTCGAATTCTTTAACATCTTTCTCCGCATTCAAAACCAGCTTCACCTCTTCTGCGACGTATTCGTAAGTTACCGAACCCAATTTTTGGAGCAGCCCAGAAATGAGTGCCTCAGCCATGTTTCGGGTAGCAGTGGAAACAGAGAAAAACAAGAGATAGGAAGTGAGAAGTGGAGGATTGATATGGTATCACCTTTCTTCTGGCCAAATTTTGAGATGAGAATATGGGCTGGCTAGACGAATAATAATGGTAGGGTAGAGGTGAGTCATCTCACACTCACTCGTTGAACAATTATTATCTTTGCTTTCAGAAATCTTATCTCAAAATCAAAAGTTAGATAGACATTTCACACAAAGACAATCAAAGTTGGACAATTGTCGGATTCTGAGTAAAGTTGAATAATTTATGCTTTTGAGATAAGAAGATGCTACACAATTACAGTGGTAGGGTCGAAGTGAGTGATGCTCACTTATTTCTTCAACAAGTTGTATGACAGCCATACACTCATCCATTTTCTGGTCAATTTACGCCCTAAAATTGCAATCTGGAAGAAAGCAGGAATCTTTATCTCTAAAGTCAAAAGTTAGATTGACAGTTCAAACACAGAATTTTAAAGTTAGGTCGCGCGGAAGAAACAGTTGTTGGATTCGAGTAAAATGGGATTTCCTTATCTTGAACTTTACTCTGAAAATTATGTAAACGTAATTATTTACGCTTTTAGATAAGAACTAGAAATTGCTTTTCGGGCGTTGCTGCGGGATTAGAAACGGTATGAAGGATTTTGTTTGGAAGATATGAAGGACAGTGTCATAGAAAGTTATTACCATTTAGATTGAGAAATTTTTTACATACAAAAGATTTGATCATATAGTGAAATGAAAAGTAGTAATACTTATTGTAATACAGATAATTTGCATTTGTAAAGTGTAAAGAACAGAACAACTCATTTCGACAAATACTATCTTTACATCGTACTGGGTTATCTGATAAGACATATTACAATCTACCTAACAAACCAAAATCCACAAATGTTTGAAAAGGAAAAAAAAGGAAAAGTGTTCATCACTAACATTGAAGTGAAAACACTAATAAAATTCAGGTTTTGGACACACCAATTAAAAAACGCTTCCCATTTTGGATTGTCATACGTTGTCACAGAGCCGCAATATTGTCATTAAGATCACAATGAAACTGATTCTCGATTTATCATAGGTCGCATCCAAAGGCAGCCATATTCTAATGACAATATGAAAGAAATAGATAAAATTAGAGCATAATAAATAAGTAACGAAAGACACGCATATGTTGGTAGAGAATTGATTAGCAGGTTCATTGAGAACAATATCTTAAATATTTGTTCAAATTAATCACATGAAAATAAAACGTTCAGATGATACTACAACCATTGAATGGCTAGGAGTACAATGTAATTATATGAGGTTGTAATCTTACGGAGATTCCGAAACGTTTAGTGTTTTCTGCCCATTCAAAGATGTTTCCTGCGTAAAACCTAGAAACACAGCATGCTAAGCATCCGGGTTTTTGACACATTACTGATTTACTGATTTGTTTTTTCTTCTATCATCAGTTCATTACTAAAATATTTTCTTTAATTTTACCCCATCCCCTAAAAGAACACATTTTTTGTTTAGTTATAGTCCTAATGGAGTGAAAATCCATGGATACAAAACCCATTGGGAATTATGGCCATCCCTAACTATTTTCTTGATAAGACTAATTATTTAACCTCGGGGGTTAATCATAGTTTTCTTTATCACAATAAAAATTACATTATGCTCGATTGAGAAGCAGAGAATAGGACTGGACCGTCCAAGCAGAATCGTAGCTTTTTCAGCTTGAGCGTATCTCCTTACTACAACCTTCCTTTTAGACTACTGGTGAGCTACTCGATAGCTTCCGTTTCGACTATTTATTTGTACTCGAAATGTAGTGATATATTAAAAAAAAATCATATCTTAAATAGTGAAACGATATACACGAAATCACAGATTGTTAAGTTCAAATTCAAGTAACTATTCAATTACCATCAACCTCAACAAAATTTATCATATTCACCAACAGTGTCATCCCGAGAAACCATGCAATATAACCTACAATGAATACTAGGCTTCAAACGTTCTTTAATTAACTGGGGATTTGAAGTTTCCACTGGTCTCTAAAACTAATACAAATTTGTAGAGGCTAATCTCTATTATTTCTTAACCAATTTAAACAATCAAGAAACAATTAGGAGTAAGATATAAATGAAAAATGCATAAACAGTGAATATGTGATATCTAACGACAAACCAAGATAAAGAGCTAATTTTATGGCAATTATCCATATGGAGCAAAACAAACAATAGAGAATAAGCAAAACCCTTACCGCATTGTTGTTTGGGAAAAAAAATGATTCAAATTATTCCCGAATCTTACTGTTCTTACCTATAATCATTTGCAGGATCCATAAGGGGCAAAAAATCTTCTGTACTTCTCTAGTGCCACAAATTAGGATCTATCTTGCAAGAGAACGGAGAATTAGATGGAGATCTCAACCATAGAATACAAGTTGGATGGATGAAGTGTAAGAGTGTATCCGGCGTGTTGTGTGATCGTCGTAGGCCACTGAAGCTCAAGGGAAAATTTTATAGGACGGCAATAAGGCCAACGATGTTGTATGGCACAGAATGTTGGGCGGTGAAGCATCAACACGTACACAAAATGGGTGTAGCGGAGATGAGGATGCTTCGTGGGATGTATGGGCACACGAGAAAGGATAAGATTGGGAATGAGGATATCCAAGGTAAAGTAGGAGTAGCCAAAATTGAAGGAAATATGAAAGAAAATCGGTTCCGGTGGTTTGGACATGTGCAAAGAAGGCCTACTGACGCTCCGGTTCGAAAATGTGACTACGGGACAGAAGTTCAGGGCCGAAGGGGTAGAGGAAGACCTAGGAAAACTTTGGAAGAGACCCTAAGAAAAGACTTGATTACTTGGATCTAACGGAGGACATGACACAAAACCGAGCGCAATGGCGTTCTAGGATTCATATAGCCGACCCCACTTAGTGGGAAAAGGCTTTGTTGTTGTTGTTGTTGTTGATATATTTGTTTGTCAAACTCAACACTCAAACTTCAAACACATGTTTCCCAAAAGAAAAGAAAACGAAGAAGAATTGAAGCACTGACTATTCGAAGCAAAAGAGCAGCCATTCTTAGGAGCCAAAACTCATTCCTTAGTCTTCTCACCCAGGTACGTGACTCTGTAATCCTCGCTCAGTATCGTTAGCTGAAATTAGGAGCTGAAATTAGGAGAGAAATACAAAAGGACTTTCATAAATTGTCTTTGAAGCAGAGGAATACAATCCAAATTACATACGCACACTCATTGGAACCAAATCCAATAACATTAATAGATGACCTATTACCTGTAAGGACGAAGAATTGGTAAAACCATTTTACCAACCTAGGAAGCCTCTGCCCATACAAATTTAAGAGAATGACCTTACTCATGTTAGACCCAAATCAAACACAATCACCATAAAACATTACCCAAAAGAGAAAAAGAACTTACAGAAGTCATTTCTACTCCCTCAAGATTTACATATCTCGAGGAGTCATCCCACTTGTTGCTAATCCCATCATAGCCTAAAAGAAATTCTCAGCCATAAGTTTTACCTCCATAGTAATAGGCAGTAGATGGATAACAGTTCAGTACATAGCATATAGATGGATCCATGAAATCATGTAACAAAGGGTAACAAAGCGCTCTGATTGGATCTGTCCATTTGCAGCATTGCCAGAATTAATAGACCTGTATTGGTTAACAAAAGGCTGCATGGAAAAGAAATCAACCTTAGAACCACATATAACGTAAATGAATGAATGTTTAAAATGCAGTTTGTTAATACTTTTTCATTATTCAATTCTTGTGCTCAAATTTTCATGTTCCATTTAAGTTGAGCAAATAGTTATCATAATTAAGATTTGTTAAGAGAATTTTTAAATCATATATCCAATCTCACAAAGATATCACAATGAAACAGTTGGTATTCAATTGTAAAGTTATAATATTTAAAGAATGTTTTGATAGTCATGAAATAAGTTTATGGGTTTGCTAATATAGATGATATTAATTGATAATAGTTTTGCTCAACGCAAATAGAAAATATAGTAGTGTTCAACTGCATTGCTAAACAAACAAAAAAATTCTAGGATATAGCAGATTCCTTCATGTAATAAAAGCCAAGAACATATAAAACTCACTCACATGTAATGCCAACTTAAGTTCGATCAGCAAAAGTTTACTGTAAACATTTAAGATTTCACAACAACAGCATTTAAACCCCATTTCACTAAAATTAACACATAATCACACCGAAATCAGTTTAATAAACCAAATTCATGACATTCACCTCTCCCAGACCCTGCGTAAAGCGGGAGCCTTGTGCACTGGGTACGACATTTTTAACAAATAATCCATAATCTCATATGAGTAAAATAGAAGACATGCACATCAAATCCAGTCTTAAATAATTTAATGTATGAATCACCTCTTTTTATGTTGGAGGTTTGTTTGCTTTGCAATTTTGACTCTTTAAGGATGTCTTTTGGATCTGTCTTTCCTGCATTATAAATGTATCTAATGAGGAAATTAGGCAAAAACTGCCAGCAAGAGCAAGAAGGATCATATCACCATACAGTTATCAGTGATTGCAGCTAGGAACCTGAATCCTTGGGGAGTGTCTATTTGTAGTCACTTTACTTCCATAGTTGTTCATATAAGGCACTAATCAAACCATGCTGAAAGTAATTCTATCAACAAATTGCATGTTTTACATGTTCATGTATATTTGTCAGTACTTCTATTCAACTCTCTAAACGATGGTGGATTAACATAAAGTTGATAAGATGATAAGGCATTGTACCATTGGCAACTAAAGACCACTGGTGCATTGCTTCTAAATATACACCCCCCACACATACACACATATCAACCAGTAACTAAAAATAGTAGTAAAGAAAGATCAATTAGGAAATAATGATATTAACATGCAACCCTTGATTTTACATGACGTTAAATAAAAGAAGACCATATTCTTATAAGATAAGAAAACGTCTCACTCTTCAATTCGTCCTAACTGCCACCCAGCTGTATATTTAGATTCTATAGTTCAGTCATCGAAAGGAGCTTATTGTGGTGCCTAACTACACTAATAATTCATAACCCGACAAAATTAAAGATGAAAACTCTTGGTACCTGTAGGCAAAGGCTCAATCCACCAGTCTCCTCCTAATCAAAACCAAACATGGTATTCACAGCACCCAAACTTGAAAGATCTAGCTCCAATCCCTAAACAGATTGGAGTATAGTCCTACTTTTTGCAACAAAACAATCCTTTTGTTACAGAACAAAATTACAGGAAAAACTAAAATTAAAATTATGTCAAACGATTAAAAGCCACAATATTCTTAGACCTTACACAAAAATAAATAAATAAAAAATCATAAAACGCAAACAAAAGAGAAAATAATAACATGGAATTGAAAACCCATTAACCAATTTATTAGTTAATTTTTGACGTAGATCACCAAGTCTCCGTCTTAATTGATTAAATTGATTAAAATTGCCCAATCTCTTGTATCTGACAGTAAATTGATTAAAATTGCCCAATCTCTTGTATCTGACAGTACCCTCCCAACCCAGAACGGTAAAAAAAAAAATCTCAGTCTCTTATATCTCATAAATTGAAGCACATGCATGTCAATTTCAGCTCTTAAAACCGAAAGAAAAGATTAGGGGTTCTTAGTTTCTTACCCAAATCCATAAATTTTTTAATCAAACCTCTTCAGCCCAGCTTGAAATCCGTTTGAATGACCTCCACGAACACGAATCTTATACATGCAGAACATTTTAGGTGAAGTTGTGAGAAGGAGTGATGATGAAACTGAGGAAACAACCAAACTCCAAACGAAGTTTAGACATGCTTCAAAAATTTGAACAAAGAAAAAGAGAACCAAAAAACAATCCCGAAACAAATATGTCGAAAACTCACCAGGAAACTCCAGCTTTTCTGGGTTTAAAATTTCCTAAAATCAGAACTGGAGCCAATTGCTTTTCTGGGTATATAATTTCTTCAAATCAGAGCGGGAATCAACTTTGATTTTCCCAAGATTCACTAATCAAATGACAAAAAGTTAATCGCAGCAAACATAGTGCAGAATTTGTCCAACGCAACAGATGGATCATTCCTGCAAAGGAAATTCGATCACGAATTGAAAAAAAAAAAGGTGTGACACAGACAGAGACAAACCTTCTTGCGGAAACCAGGGGTTCCTGGCTTGAGAGAGCTCCAAAAAAATCTGTTCTGGAAGCGAATCGAAGAGAGTGGAATTAGAAAGACTCCCCAACTCCCCCAACTGTTCCATGTTATGATCCCACGTCGCCTACACCAAAAATAATGTAGTGGTTTCCTTGGGTCCTCCCACCGCACTCGTATTTTGGGTTGGACTCTTCTTGTAATACCTATATCAAAGCTTAGGTTCCCGAAGTTGCAGGACTTGGCGAGTGGTGCCACCTCGTGGTGCCGCCTTGGGAGTATGGGCTCTCAAGGGACTTGGCGACTGGTGCCGCTGTGGGCGTCGGATCTTCCGAATGATGATGTAATGTTATGATCTCATATCGGTTACATAAAAAATGGTGCAGTGGTTCTTAAATCCTTGTGGTTCTTAAGTTCTTAAGTCCAATAGGCTCTGAAAACATTCCAGCTTTCTTCTCAGGGCTGGCTCTGAGAATTTGGGCCCTACGCGAGCCTTTGAAGTGAGGTCCTAAAATTTTTTGATTTTCGGTTCTTTGTATATTGATTTGTATAAAAAAGAATTTGCTAAATACATAAAAAGTTTTATTTTCACATCAAATATCATTAAAAATTAATATCAAAATAAGATAAATATACAAATATTATTTAAACATTACACGATTCATGTTTTTAGACACAAATGTACTACATGTTTGCAGTTAAGGGTTTAAGATTGAGAGTGAAGAATAATAAAACTTGATGATCAAGAGAGTTAATAACAATAAAACTTGATTGACGAGTATAATAAATCCAAAGCTAATTGTTTATCTTGTATTTTTTTGCTTCTAAAATCAACATCACACTAATGAATTGAATATTAAAATAATTCATTGAATAAAAAATTATTGAAAAAAATATATATATAATTCAAAGTTTTGATTACCTTAAAGTACCATCTTTAAGACCATATAATAGTTGGTTTAAAACATTCAATAGAAATAGAGATAATAGGAAGTTGATTTAAACATTCGATAGAAATGGAAAGAATGAGAAGTTGAAAGAAAAAAGATCGCAAAGAGACTTGAGTTTTATAACTTTATTTGCATTTGAATAGATGGATTGGAGTTGGACAGATGAATTGGCAGTAAATTTGAAAAATAAAAAAAATCTAGTGACTAAAAGGCAGCTTTGTGTTTCGAATTCAACACCCCAAAAAAAAATAAAGCCAACATTTCCATTGCACTAACAAATAAATTATGATATTTCTTACTTTTTTTTGTATTTATATGTTCATTACAAGATATAAAAATTTTTTTGGGGGCCTTTCCGAAGTGGGGCCCTATGCGGGCGCCTACTTGGGCTACCCTCAGGGTCAGCTTCTTAAGTTCTTAGATGAGCAACACGTGTACTCCTTCCCTTCCTAGATGACCAGCATGCTCACATTCAGCCTCATTTCCTTCTTAGATGACCAACATGCGTACATAAGGGGCAAACCAGTAAAATTCATTGTGCAACACAGATAAAAAGCTTGAGAATAGACAGCAGCTGAGGGGCATTTTTGTCCACGCACTGTCGGTGAACAATGCACGCTAGTTTGGGTTTTAGTATAGGAATAATATGGGCCTGCTAGACAAATAATATGGTAGGGTAGAGGTGAGTCATCCCTCACTTATTTCTTCTCACAAACATTATTGATCATCTTTCTTGTCACTTTACAACCCTAAGATTTTAAATTGCATCATGTTATGACTTCCGTTAGCTTAATCATTATGTATGCCGGTAAATTGCAATGTTTTCTTTGACACAGTCAACTCAAAGATTCTTTATTTCATTTGGAGGCTCGGTAATGAGATAATCCCTACTGGAGAAAGGTTGCAGTTCCGACAAGTGATGAACAATGCTAGGTGTTGGCGTTGTCAAGGGGAAATTGAAACTACAATTTATGTTTGCATCTGAAAATCTTTTTGGACTAGTATTGGAACTATTTTTCATCTGTTTATGGACACTTTGGAATGCTAGAAATTCTTTCTACTTTGAAAATGTAATTTTTGATGTAGAAAATTTAAAACAATTGGTGAGGAACTATGCTACAGAGGTGATGAATGATGCACATAGGAGAACTTCCTCATCTGAATGTCGGATCAGTTCATGGATCCCCACATCAGTGCGGTTTTTCAAGTTAAATGTTGATAGCGGGGTGGATACTACCAATGTATGCCATGGATAGGGATCTCTCTGTATATATGGGATGTTATTCTCCCTACACAGTGCTTTTATTTATAGTAGTAAAAAAGTGAGAAATACTTGTCCTCCAAGTAAATACAATCTAGTAGGGAAAGAATAACTAGTAACCAAATCTATCTATGATTTATACAATCACATTTTAATATAATATCTATAACATGTTACATGTAATTACTAAATCACCTATGATTTTTATTTTTGTTTAGCATTGGTGGAGAGAGTTAATGACACACCACAACTCGGAATGTCCACTTGGACTCCAAATCAAGCTCTGCTGGTCGACACCCGGAAGGTGACAATGCCATAAAGTGTAGTAAAGTGGAAAAATATGAATAAATTTAAACCTAAAAGTTACTATTACAAGAGCACATGTGAGCGAGTTTTAACTCATCTCACATGTGATGTTAGAGCATAAGTAAAGTATATTAAAAGTAAAATAAAAATTATACAAACCCAAAGAAATCTCCTATATCAGCGTTTGCCAGAAATAATATGGTTAAAATTCGCCTTTGGTGAGAATCGAACCTAAGACCTCCCAATTACAAGTGAAGAGATCGTAGTACTAAGTGGTAAAAGCAAGTTAATCACTAAAAAAAAATTAAAAATATAAAAAAGTGTACAATTCTGGTTTGCATCCTTTAATAGGAGGAAGGCAAAAAAGACGTATGCGAATAATATTTGATTAGGTTGATTTAGAAATAGTATTAAAATCTATTTTAATAATCTTATCTACAAACTTACCGTTTCATTAAACTACAAAGACAAAACAAAAGATGTGCTTCGACCCGACTTTCTCATGAGCAACAATTCATCTATCTACTCATGTCTCACGACAACTGCAAGCTTGGGACCATCGGAAAGTTTCCAACACCATAGCTATGTTGGGCTCGAGACCATCCTGGTCCCTTAGTGACTCCGCCCTCGACGTGGACTGTTGGCTCAACATGTAAACTAAGCTACTTCGTTATCATGACAGAAATTAAAAGTATACCATACAATTAACTGACAACATATAAATAATACCTAACTTTTTATAAATACATACAAAACTCCTGAATTATCCGAGAATTCATACTCTCTTTCAAAATCTCACTTATTTGTCAAGTTCAAAGTTTCAAACTTTGAATGATAACCCAAATCCAGCAGTGTGGGCCACGTAGTTCAAAGCAAAACACGTGATGGACCCATCAGGCATCAGATAATCCATCCATCGGCCCCACTACTTCTCCAATACAAATTAGGCCTCATAGTGGGCCTGTAATTTTATTTATTCTCCCTAAAACCCGCAACAAATATCATAATCCCCACAAAGTCCACCATATCAGACACGACTCACTGAGTCATCATCACCGCCGACTGAGACGAGTCTAGTACCGTCACTACCATGATCCACTATACACTGATCCCACTCAAACAATGAGATGACGACGACGACGCTTATGGCGGCTCTGAACCCGTTGCTGGTGCGTACAATTTCGTTCCTCTGCGCGCGAGGCCACCGCCGACGCCTGGGCCTCGGGCTTGCGGTCCCGAGCGGCAGGGCGTGGTGCAGTGGGGCAAGTCGACTCGACCGGATAGTCCATCGTCCTCGGCGGACAGTTCCGCGCTGAGAGGAGTGCTGAGCGTGAAGGACCTGCCGAAGTACCCTCGCTGGGACGACCCTGACTACTTCAAGTGGAAGGATGAGGAACGGGAGGTTTTAAACGACATCGAGCCCGTCGTTTTACTGGCCAAGGAGATTCTGCACTCGGATAGGTATCCTTACTATGAGCTTAGCTCGCAACGACGTCGAGCCCCGTCGTTTTACTTTGTGAAGTGGAAACTATGTGACTGGTTTTGGTGGTTTGCAGGTATATGGATGGTGAGCAGCTGACGGAGGAAGATGAAAAGGTTGTGGTGGAAAGGCTTCTTGCTCATCATCCACACTCAGAGGATAAAATTGGCTGCGGAATTGATTCTATCATGGTAACTTTTTTTCCTCCACCATTTACAGTCGGAGATTGCCTTGTTATATTGTCTATTAATTGAATTTCTTGTGAAGAATTTAGGTTGGATTGTAATAAAATATATAAAATATTGAGTGTAAGTAACTCATTAGTCATTACCAATATGTTTTCAGTGGTGTAAATGATGGTTTTCGAGCATCGGTGCATTCGTTCTTTTTGAACTTAGCCTCGAATTAGTATTACCCTTAGTTATATATGGGGTTGATACTAATGCAGCAATGAAATTTTGTGTCGGTCGAAAAGTTTAACTGGAAATTGGTGTCATTGAATTAGTGACTATGAAGGTCTGTTTTAAATGTGTAGTATCTACGAATTTGTTTGTTGTAGTGTGAAGGATGGTTTGGAAGACGCGTTGTTGTGTGTCACAGACCACTATTGGTGTGAATGCACAATGTGTGCTTTTTTAAGTATGAAAGTTTATGTTGTATAGAGAAACAAGGCTGTTGATGTTTTCATGAGCGGTTTGGGTTAGCTGAAAAAGGGTTTCAAAGGTTGAAATCATAGAAAGAGGGGGTTTAGGGTTTGTGTATTAGTTTTGTGGTGAACGTATTGAGTGTTGAAGACAAGTTTGAAAGGAATGCGGCAGGTAATTAAAAGTCATGCTTGTTCTGAAGTATAAGGACGCCTAGATGTGGGGGAATGTGGAATATAGAGATTTAATTGGGGAAAAAAAGGCAAGTGATTCGGGTGGGAAATAGGTTAGAAAAGCTAGCAAGTTGATGCTCATCCTATTTGCACCAAACCCATACTCATCACGGCTTAAAAGATTGTGATACTAATCATATTACCCTTATTTATTCAATTCCTTATCTTTATACGCCCTTCTCCCATTCTCTCCCTGTTAAATCCTCCCTTCTCTCCTTCTCCACTTCTCTCCTTGTTTTCAGCCTGTCTTCTACTATTTTTAATATGCTATTGCTCATGCGTCATTGCAATTTTTGTGTCAACCAAAAGATTTAACAGGAAATTGGTGTCACCAACCAATGTAATAGGAAACCTGAGATGAATGCAAGACGTTAACTCTATTGCAACCGAATAATAAAAGAAATGATTGAAGTATCACTGCACAAACATACACAACTAAGAAGTTTATGGCATTTCTTAATGATTATGTGAATAGAAAAACATTTATCTAGGCTGAAATTTATTTTTGTCCCCTCTGTGTAAGATGACGTTCAATGGGAGGCCAGTCACAGGTGCTCTAGCTTAATGAGCTACATGCCTTTGCATTTTTCTTACCACTTTAACCTTTTTTAGTGCTTGTCCTAAGCAATTGGGCAAGTGTTTGGAACTTTAGATCTGCATGTTCATAACTTATCCTTTACTTTATGGGCTTATTTTTGCTAGATTATATATTTCATACCATTTCAATACAATTCAATGATAGCGGAAGCTGAAAGTGTAAACTATTAAAATTTTGGTGTTAACTTTTTTCTGCTGTTTCTTTGGCTACTTTTTCTAAGGATGTTGGTTCAGAAACGAGTTACGAGTGTAATATGTAACTGATGTAACTGTAGATAAAGCTCTTTCTATTATTGTTTCTGTATATTTCTGGGACATGAAATTATCTGTCTCTATCTCAAAACTTCTCTTCTTCAGTCTGATCTTTATTTGAATAGAACTTACAATGACTATTTGTTGACATTGAGTTTTTAAACTATTTAACATTGAATTTTAAGTTCTTATTGATTTCTGAACCAGTCCTCCTTTCTATACATGGTCAACCTGTGTTTTCTGCGATGTGGATTCTTGTGTTTGCCTGTGCCAATTAATCACTTTCTTTGTAACTTGTCTTGCTGAAGGTTGATCGGCATCCCCAATTTAAACACTCGAGGTGCCTCTTTGTCATAAGAACTGATGGTGTATGGATAGACTTCTCCTACCAGAAGTGTCTCCGAGCATATATCCGAGATAAGTGCCCATCCCATGCAGATAGATTCATTCGGGAACATTTTAAATGCGGTAGTGGCTAAACGTGCATTAATCCTTCCTAACGCTTGTATTGGGGTTTAATTTTGCTTTGGTAATTACAAATGCGTATGAAATGATATTCAAATTATCCCTTGGAAGGGGGATGTCTTTCGTTTTTCAGACCTCTAGTGACCCACATATAACCTAGATCTACAAAATGTCAATGTAGTAGATAATCCTTGACTGAAACTCACATGTATCTTTAAGAATGACAATGAAGAAAATGATTGAAGTTAACTTCACTTTGTTGACTTGCATCTACTTTCCTTGGCTTTGAACATGTTTATTTTATTTTATGACTTTTGGTTTTTTCTGTCTTTCCTAGGACCTGCTTCTACTGGGGTGGTTGATTTACTTAGCTTTGTACCTGTAAGTCCTCAAAGCTCATTAGAAAACAACCTGGCTCTCTCTCATTGATTAGAAGCTTTGTCAATCGTTTTAGCTTAATTAGAGAATTTAGATGGAGGAAAATATGTGAGTCCTTTGTCGGGCATTCAAGACCTGTGCCAATATAGTCCATCAGTCCGAAGATGTTCAATGTGGTGATCAATGATCTTGTAGTTTTTTGGCTGACCTTCAATGGAGATAATAACATTCCACTGTGACAAATGTTGATGATGGGAATTTGTGTCTATGTTTGGCTGCGATTAACAAGAAAAAAACTTTGGTAAGGTAGGCTGACTTGGGGAACTTTCTCATATGGTGGGTCGGGTGAGACCAAAATACATAGAGTCCATGAGAGCTTCCCTACAGTTGACATAGTCAAGCACCCTTAGCCTAGTTTTTATCGTCTTTAACGGGCCGGCAATGGATGGTCCATCCAATAGGACTTGGTCTTGATCAGTTTAGGTAGTATCATGAGTGAAGATATGGAAATTTTGTATAGTCTGACAGCTTAGAAGTCCGATAATTTGAAGTTATTTGCCTTCGTGGTCCCGTACTTTTTACCAACTAGTAGAAATCGAGTGGTTGAGACTGGTACTGTGAGTCAAAAGAGTCAAGCTCTCACAGATGGATGCCGTCTAGACTAGGGTATTTTCTTGAGTACTCCGGAGTATCGGATACTCCGGAGCACCCAAGATTATTTGCACGGTCAAAACCGTGAAATGGCTGCAGGAATGTGGTTAATGTTGAAGACGAACATCATATTTCTGGTGGTAAATTATGCTCAAGAGAAATGCTCCCTATAGGCAGTTACCCTTCGAACATATTTATTCTTTGAGACTTAGAAACAGAGACTTTCCCTGGAGGATGTTTAATGCTTTGTGGTCTAAAAATGTTTGGAATATTCTCAACTTTAATGTGTCCCCACCCATAAGCTTTTACTTTGCATTAATTTTTGAACAACACACAAAGATGGTAAAACCAGCTGTTTCCCCCCTCTTTTGATGTGATTCATAAACGCACTCAAATTTCACCCTTCCTCTCATTTCTTGTACCATTCAAAAAGAAGGGAGTGAATATTAGCCAATTAATCTTTCATTTCAGGATAGTAAATCAGTGCTAGAGTCAGTCACGCATGTTGTTCTTGATTGTTAATGCTTGTGAGATTTACGATGTATTAATGGCCAGAATCACCTCATGCCCGCGCCTTCGACTTGAAGCATTGGCTAGAGGGTTGAATGGTGGCTAGGAGGCCTCACTATAGAAACTATGGGGTAATGAAATAATGGGAAATCTAGTGTAATTAATTATAGGTTTTTTTTTAGCTAAAATGATCATTAAGATTGACAAAAATCTTTATTTTGGTCTCTAATATTTAAAATTGATAGAAGCAGTCCCAAATATTGTCTACCATCAATTCTTTTGGTCATTTCGTAAAAGATTTCTGTTAAATTAAGAGTATTTTTGTCAAATCAACATATTCACTAGAATTTGTGGTTTTTCAATTTAACGGAGATTTTTCAATAAATGATCAAAATAATTGACAGTGAATAATCTTAGGGACAATTTTTATTAATTTTAAAACTCAAAGGTCAAAATGAAGAGTTATGCATCTTTTTTGCTAAAAAAAAGTCTTAATTATATAATGCATGTATAAACTATGGTGATTAGGGGGATTAAGAAAAAGGTGAATAAGAGGGCAGGTTGCTCATTTAGGTCAACTGTCTTCCATTATCGTGCATGGTTATAGTCAACATGAGCAACTTCTGTTGGGTGGTGCCATAATTACGGGACAAACATTATCATTAGGTTCTCGTACTGTACTTGGTGGGCCTCCCGCTAATTCGAGAGTGCCACACAGCTGGAAGGGAGGATCCATGTGGGACCTAACCCCTCACAGTCCATACACCACATTAGTTTTCTCTTTGCTTGCTGCACTAGACATGGGGATTCAAAGATCTTCAGCGATCTCGAATCATAGACTTTCTTTGGGACGTTACTGCGGTGATATTTCAAGTTTAGATTGCACTTGAGGTGTTTGAACAGCCTGGTTGAGACTTTTAAGAATTTAATCGTGCAAATCTAACCGTCTGATTGTACTGGTGGTGCACGTAAAATATTTTTTCTCGCTCATTTGAACTTCAACGCATGACAGCACGTTATTTATTTAAAATACCGTTACAATAGCGATTGGAATAAGTAGGGCAAGTATGCGTCGATGGTGAAGCATAGCATTTGAAGGGTTGTGATATGTGCTTGGGTCTAATCAACTAGCAACCACGAGCTATGAGGATGGTTTGATGAGTTCCAATAAAGGCCTTTACTTTCCGTTGCGGTGATTGAAATGTATGCAAGGAAAATGAACAACTTTCTGAGTTTTCAGAGGAGTGGGCATGTCTGACTTTGACCAGAATTATGAAAGAGGAGGTGTTATTGTTTACAAATCTGAGAAAACAAAACAAAAAAAAAAAAAAAAAAGAGAAAAGAAATTGCCAATGATCGTATAAAAAGTAAAAGGAAAAAAAAAAGGAGATTGCTTTGAAGGCTTTCTAATAGTAAAACAGTGCCAACCTTTGTTCAGTTCTGGTTGATTTTTAGAGGGGTATTTTGGTATACGTCAAATTCCACTAATCATCCATGTTCATGCGATTTTATGAATAATTATTTCGTGCTTAAGTCCGTTACTAATCTTAGTATACATCGAATTTTGCACTGAAATTCTTTTGCATAGGTAAATTGATCTTTCAAACATGATTTATATGTCAAACAAGCTTACATGGGCTCAAAGAGCAGAGACATTTCTGCCCTTGAAAATGATGGTCACATGAACCTTTCTCGAGGTTAGTTCAAATAGCGAGAGAGAGAATTGGGTAACTCATTAGATTAAAATATATTTATCATTCTATAATCATAAAAGTGATAGAACTTAGATGTAAGGTTTGTTTTAGATCAAGATTTGTAACCGAGTGATTTAACGACATAGTTTTACTACACAGAAGTAACGTTGACGTATGAATTGACAACACACTACATTGATGATTTGTGCAAGTTCGCCTTTGTTGTATTGCGTTAATAACTCAACCACCACGATAAGGATTTTTATGAGACGGATACACCATTGTTTTGATGTTCAGTGTCAATAATATAAAATGTCGTATGAGTTTTTTTTATATATTATTATATCATTAAGACAAAATGTTAAGATAACGTTCTAACTCTGCTTAGTAAGTTGCTGTCCACCACCACAAAATCTACCAACAAATCCATGAAAATCTAATTTGATGCAGAGTCCCACTCTACAAACTGCAATAGCACCCACACCTTTTGTCCTCCCTTTGGCTCTCTAGCTTCATTTCTCGGAGAATGCACAACAAGTAGGAGAAATAAGACTAAGAAGACAAAGATGAAAGAAAAGAAAGAAAAGAAGAAAAAGAAAATAAAAGAAAGCTACATCTCAAAAGAAAAAGACCTAGAAGCCCTCCACGTGTCCCATTTTCTTCCTTTCCTCTCTTTTTGTTTGCATGGCATAGCGGGAAATACACAGAGAAACTTGAAGACATACACTGATACCAAGATCTAAAATATCGATGATATCGGAAATATCGGTAGTCCAAAAATACGAAAATTTCGATGAAAATATCAGGATATTATCGATATCGATAAAAATTGAATAAAAACCATTGAAATTGTAAGAAAAACTTGAAAATTTTTATTGAAACTTTGCAGGATGTTTATTTAGTCAATTATCTATTAGTTTATTACAAAAAATTGGAACGAAATGCATTTCATGATGGATTTAACTGATTTAAGTTGATTATATAGCGAGCTGACAAACATTTTGAATGTAGAAAATATGTAGTAATTAATGAAAGAAGTTTAAACACATTATAATCATTTATATATAATGAATTAATACAATATTTTACACTTTATACATTGTTTGGTGAGATACATGAGTGACTTAGTATCATATAAAATTCCTATCAAGATCTAAAATATCGATGATATCGGAAATATCAGTAATTCAAAAACACAAAAATTTCGAAAAAAATATCGAGATAATATCGATATTTTAAACCTTGATGCTCACATACTCTCTCCCTCACTCCCTCTCTCCACGCCTTGTCTCTCTTCTGTAATGGTTTGCCGCTGTAAACATAATGGTTGAGTGCAGTGCAGAAAGAGAGAGGGAAGAGACTGAGAGACCAACTTTTCGTACAAAAGAGGAATTGAGTTGTCCTGCGCTGCTGGTGGGATAGTAAATTCTACTGGGAAGTGTGTAATTGCAAGAAATATATATACCGATAGACACACACACATATATAATCGATTATACAAATAGATAATGGTACAGTAAATTTTAACCTTAAAAAGAAAGAAAAACTAATGAAAAGGGTTTGGAAACTTTGAGTTTTAATGATAAGGACAAAATAAAGGGTAAAATGAATAGTACCAGGATTGACTTTTTAGTGTAAAAATGTGGTTTTTCGTTAAAGTGAACATTACCGGGGGCTTTTCGTTAAAGTTCCCTAAAAAGAATGAAGTTTTAACGAAAAATCACGATACTATTTACTTTAACGAAAGATTATATTTTTACATTAAAAAATCAAATTTGGTACAATTCATTTTACCTTTTATTATGTCCTTATTATTAAAATTCAAAGTTTTCAAATCTTTTCCATTAGTTTTTCTAAAAAATACATAAAAAAAGATAATTAATCTGCGTTTCATAATCTTAAACCTTAATTACTTGAACTCAGTTGTATACTAGAGTTTTACAACACACTTTTGTTGTGTGTAAAGTTTGAGTAATAGGTTCGTCACGCAAGCAAACTTTTTTGAACAATTAACGTGGAAGAGCTAGATACAGAAATTTGAAAGTTACGTAGTTTATGTGATTAAAGCACTTATTCTCGACACTCAAGTTTCTATATTTGGTTCAATATATTATCTTTCCTTCAATATTGTTTGTATTATACCAATCATTACACTAGAATGTCGCAAACAAGGTTGAAAACTTGAGAAGATTACCCTAAACCCCATGCCAAGAATACGATCGTCAAAATTAAAAGTGAAAAACGAGAAAGAAAATAAAAGAAAAAGGAAAGAGTTTGCTCACGGATGCCTTTACTTCTGTGCTCTGGACTAAAGCTCAAAACTATCTGCCTAAAGTTTTACTTTCCCTTTTACCCAAACCAATCAACGCAAAAACTTTATTATTGATTTTTGAGGTATTCATCGATTTTTCCTCTAACTTATAATGAGCTGTCAATTTTTTTCATAACGTTTAATTTTAGCAGATTATTTTTCTGAACTTCTATAATCAGTCAATTTCAACCATGAACGTTAATTTTAACCGATTATGCTCTAAACGTTCATAATTGGCCAATTTCTAGTAATAAATTTGTTGAGATGAGTAATTACTTTTCTTATTTGAATTTGGATCTTGATTTAAAATAGGTGAAATGAGATGGTCATGTGAATCAAGTCACAAGGAATGCTAAGGAAATTGCATCACAATCCCAACATTTTCTGAAAAAGCAAGACCGTGGAGAAGATTCATAGTTGTCTGCATTAAAGATAAAATTCAAACAAAAAGTGTACATAGTGAACTAGTAGAAGAGAAGAGGAAAAAACAATATGTTGTCCACATCAGGGATAAAATTACATTTTTTACCTCAAACAATTGTTATGTACCGTGTATGTGACCAAGATGAATGAAAAATTTCAAAATCTAACGCTAGAGGGGAAATTGACCAATTATAAAAGATCAGGTCGTAGTCGGCTAAAACTTCAAGAGGATAATTGGTTAAAATTAAAGTTCATGGAAGAAAACCGACACCTCCTTACAATTTCGAGAAAATTTGACAAATACTTTTTTATTTTTTTTATGAATTAAAATCATACATAGTCAATGATAAAAAGCTAGCTATTGATCTGTACACGGGTGTATATTACCAAAAGATGTAGTGGACATGCGCACATGTATACTCCCATACTGGCACCCAGTTTTTCTTAAATGCGCGCATTTTCACATAGTTCGACTAGTACATTACACATGGTCAAGTAAGGTATGATATGATAACATCAACGTTTTGAAATACACTAGGCGCTTATTGGGTGATGAGTTAGGACCTCACACCTAGGTGAATTAGGCAGATTTAAGTAAATTTATTGTATTTGTTAAATAAGTGTATTTATAAACAAACACATAATTGTTTTGGAATAGATAAATTGCAAAATAAAATGACATATAGATATAAAGTATTAAAACATATTGAAAACATGAGGAACAAACATATAATGAGTGTTCATCTAAATATTCAACAAGTTTCTTGCATTTATATTTTCAATAACATTTTATTGAAAATATAAAATGCAAAGTGAAAATTATTTATTTTCTGTCTAAGTGAGAGTCGTGACCTAGGTGAGTACGTGCTTAGGCGGATGCCTAAGAGGGTCTAAGCGCACTTTTTTCATTTTCAAACACTTAGAGACCAATCGAGATGTGACTAGCGGCCTAGCGTCTCGAAAATTTTTAGAACCGTGTATAACATAATACAAATATGCACGAAAAATATATGATTAAGTCAAAGCCTTTTCAAAATGTCGTAAATAAATTGACACGATAATAACACATTAGGTAACCGGTTAGATGGATGTTCACTCACAAAACTTTATCGAATATCCTTTATTTATCTTTTCTTTTGAAAAATCGTTTTAGCATATAACTTACTTCTTTTAGGGATGTTTTCTTCGGAAATGGTTGGACATCTGCTGTACTTGATATTTATGGATGACTTTTATATTATAGTTGATTGATTGACAAAACAAAGAGAGAGACATGTAAACGAATAAAACACGGTGCGACGCGTAAAATTTGTGATGAGTTTAAATTTATATATTTGGCCATGATAAGTTAACATGTGAATTTGAATTGTGCATAATCTCACATAAGACATGACACTAGCACGATTGTAAGGTCTACACTACTCTCTCGAATTAGTCACTTTGTTCTCGGAACTAGTACATTATCACTTCAAATACAATACTGCAACTCTAAGGCATCTCCCAATAGTTTTGTAAATTTTTTTGCTAAATTAGCTATTAAATAGTGTCAAATTTTTAAAATAGCTAGTCAATTTAACTTATCATCTTCAACAATAATTTATTTCAACAAACACTATGAGATAATATTTTATATGCACCAAAGTGGAATCGAATTCTCAATTTGCGCAATTGATTTTAAATGCAAAGTGAGTGATCAACTTTTAAAAGGTTTAGTATCGAATTGTCGTCCTTTTATTATTAAATTTGGTCTTGTGAATTTGACCTATTTACAGTGAAATTTTTTTGTTGCTAATGATTTGGCTCGTTTTAATTTGTCATGTAATTTAAGTTCAGTCTTTAGCAAACTCATCTTTCTTGTTGTTAATTGTTAGTTGCAAATATAACTAAAATCTCGTTGCTTCGTGATGTTCTTATATAATTTTTTTAATTTTTTTTTGCTCATGCCCCGACGTCAACTAAAAATATAAAAATAAAAATAAAAATACAGAGTTTTCAGTGACAGTGGAGAAAAACAAAAACCCACAGATTATAAAACACATATTTGGGTAGTGGTCTGTCCCTTCCCTCCTCTTCCCCTATTGCTCTTCAATCAGAGACAGAGTTCTTTAGAGAGAGATTAAGATAGAGAAAGAGAACATCTCTTTCTCCTTCTTCTTCCTCACACTCTCTCAGCCTCTGGCTTTTCAATGAAGTAATGAACCCAGAATCAAATCTCTTCTTCTCAGAAGAAGATGGATCGAAAACATCATCATCAACTAGTAGAATCAAGTGAAGAACAAAACCCAGTTTTCCTTTTGGACGCTCTGTACTGCTCGGAGGAGCATTTGGTGGATGAGCAAGTGAGCCCAGTGGATTATTTCCCAGAAGAGGAATTAGTAGAAGACAGCTTTAACAGCAACGTTTCTTCGTTTAACCCAATAAAAGCTCCAATCTTAGTCGAGCAAGACCTGTTCTGGGATAATGAGGAGCTAATCTCTCTCTTATCCAAAGAATCGGAGCAAAACGAGCTCCAAAAACCCCTCCAAATCAGCCCCTCTCTGGCCGGAGCTCGCAGAGAGGCGGTGGATTGGATGCTGAGAGTCGCTTCCCACTACTCTTTCTCCGCCCTCACGGCGGTGCTCGCGGCGGATTACTTCGACAGGTTCTTGTCCAGCCTCCAACTTCAGGTTGAGAAGCCGTGGATGACCCAGCTCGCTGCCGTGGCTTGTATCTCTCTTGCTGCCAAGGTTGAGGAGACCCAAGTTCCCCTTTTGCTGGATTTCCAAGTATGTTGTTTGGTACAATGTTTGTCCTTGGTTTCTTGAATCTTGTCCCATGTTTGTGTTTGGTTGTTGAAATTTGTTGGGTTTTTTTGTGTGTTTTTAAGGTGGAGGATAGCAAGTATGTGTTTGAAGCTAGAACAATCAAACGAATGGAGATTTTGGTGCTCTCAACTCTCCAATGGAAGATGAATCCTGTCACTCCGATTTCATTCATCGATTACATCACCCGAAGACTCGGTCTGAAAAACCATCTCTGCTGGGAAGTCCTCAAAAGATGTGAGCTCAACCTTCTGAGTCTAATTTCAGGTATCCAAATCTTGTTCTTCTCTCATTAATTCGATTTGTTTTTCGTAATAACATGATCGAAAACAAAGTAAAGTTGCGATCTTTACGCTTTGTCTTACAATGTTGTTGGAATTTTGAACCTTTTTTTTGTCAACTGCAGATTCTAGGTTCATGTCTTTTCTTCCATCTGTAGTTGCCACTGCCATAATGCTGCATGTTGTCAACAACATAGAACCGTGTCTACTTATGGAATACCAAAACCAGCTCCTGGGAATTCTCGGAATCGATAAGGTTTGCTAATCATTACCCTTAAATCTCCGCAAAGTACTAATCTTTTCCATTTCGAACGCGAAATTTTGAAACTTTTATTGAAGTCAGATTTCAATTGAATCTTAAACAGGACAAAGTGGATGAATGCTCGAAGCTCATCTCCGAATTAACATCTTCCGGAGGCAATGGCAGTGGCAAACAATCCAACAAGCGTAAGTTTGGTTCAGTTCCATGCAGTCCCAGTGGAGTGATGGATGTGTCATTTAGCTCTGATAGCTCGAATGATTCGTGGGCCACTGGATCATCGGTCTCATCCTCGCCGGAGCCTCTGTCGAAGAAGAGGAATTCCAACCACAACCGTAATGCAGATATCCCCGGCTTCATCCCTCGCTAGTTCCGAAATTGGTTCCAATTTTTTTTTCTTTAAGGACCCAAAAAAAGTCTTTTCTATGTCTAATAATACTCTTCTTATGTGGATTTGTTAAATGGCCTACCATCTCTGAGTTTTCATCCTAATTTTCCCAATCCAATCCAATCTAGTGCAATCCAAACGATCCGATCCTTGTGGGAAGGTGGATGTATGGGATTAGGAAACGGAGATGGTTGACATTTTATCTGGAGGAAAGTTTTTAAGAACATAGCAATGAAGAGAGTACTTGCAGCAGCTGCAGGGCAGTAATAATTATGTATCTCTCCTTTTACTCTCTTGCATGGCCTTTTTCAAGGGAAAAAACAAAAAAGAAAACAATAATACTTATGTAGCTAACTCCACATTGTTTATAATTGCTCATCATTCTTAATTTGTTTAAATATTATGTTGTTAAAAATCCCTAAAATTGTGTTTATATATATATTTAGATCAGCATTCAGTAGGGAGGATTAGGAAAGGGAGGGAGGGGTTGAATGTGGAAAATTTTCAATGTGTCAGAAATACAATTCAATATACCGAGTGTTATATACAATTGGTTGGAGATTTGTTTCTAAATTTACAAACATATTATTACATTTGATATATCAGACCGAGCTTCTTACACATTAAAAAAAATCTGACGATTGAATGCATCTAGTTAGAGGGAATTGGATCCCTTCCGGATTTTAGTGTTCGGAGTTTATGAATCAATTCATCTGGACCGTACAAATTCAATCCAACGACTAACGGTCTCCATTAACTTATTTTCTTGGCTCATCACACAAAATCAATGATTCTGATTTCTTTTATACACCAATCAGCGACTCAAATGAATTGATTCTTAGGATCCGGCACTAAAGTTCCGAACGGATCCAATTCCTAGTTAGAGAAACATGTTGTCGGCCAATAGTATTTTTGGTGTTCTAAATAAGGTTTGACCTCGATGGATGAGCTAAAATCTTGTATGACTTGGGGTTTGAAATTTTGCCCTAACGCTGGAACAAAGACCAACAGTTGTAAACCACCCAAATCTGCAGCAACACCGTCCACATCGTGTTTCAATGCACACCTATTTGACTAGTATTGTTGCCTATTTAGCATTTATGCTCTATTTTAGCTTAATTCATGATATAATTACTTTAAAGCGCATACGGACTAAGGGCTCGAATGAAAATGCCTACGTGTAAAACGCTTTTGTGTAAACTTTTGCTTTGAGCGCTCTTAACAGAAGCACAAGAAAGTTTTTACTAGCTAGCAAAACAAATGCTTTCTAGAAATGTAGTTCGAAGTGCCTGATGATCTGTGTAATTTTTTAAAACACGATGGTGTGTTTTTATTGTTAAGTAACAATTGTAGTTATTTATGTCAAATACTGTTAAAAATGCTTTCTGATAATCAAAAGAAATGTCAAACAATTGCCCTATGAGTGACCCTTCAATATTTCCAAAGAGCAAAGGGGACATGTAGTAGCACACCCCCACCAAACAAGTGAAGACCTTTGTACTTCATCTACAATATGGTCATATATATATATACATATATTTTCCTCAAACCCTTTAGTTAACTTAGATTTATATATGACCGTTGTAACTAAATATTAATATCCACTTACTTAATGTTTTTATAAGTTCTATCCCAATCTTTTGTTTGTTCATTAGATTGCTGCCACTTGCAGTTAAGAATTGAATTTACCAATTGATCTCACTAATTAATTGTCGATAATGCACAAAACACACTCACAATAAGCTGGTAATGTTAGAAAAACTAAATTTGGAAAGAGTTTTGAAAACTAAAGGACATGAAAGTTGATGATTGATTTATTACTTAAATGTTGATAGACGTACTTATTCTTATTGGTGACACATCATTTAATTTGTAAATTTAATCTCTCTAGCATTACTCTTAATCACAATAAGCACTGCATGTGCTTTCTACTTACTTCCCCTTTTGAGAAAAATTGCATGCTTAGTGTTTAAGCTTTGCTTAGGCACAATTGAATAATTAAATATGTTGATTTGCTCATGCACCGCGATTGCCGGAGTATTATAAAATATGAAAGATACAAAATTTTAAATGAATGTTGTAGAAGAATAGATTTTTTAATTTGATTGGTACATAGGATGATATATCACATGCTATTATGTAATTGGAGGAACACTTGAAGAAAGAAAAAAAAAACTTTCTTTAAGTTATATAATGACATGTGATGTACCGTATTTCAGTTACACTGAAAAATTTCTTTTGTAAAACAACATGTTAGTTAGACATTGAGAGATGTGCAAGTGCAGTGCATGAAAGGTGGGAATTATGGGAAAGAGGAACCAAAAAAGAAAGTGGAGAATTAAGCCAGATTATCAACATAAAGGGGATGGATTAGCACTTAGAAGAAGATTAAAAAGAAATAATTTTACATAACCAAAAGAACATGGATAGAAAAAGCAGAAAAAGGTGAAAGGGTGGGGTGGAGGGGGAGATTGCTGAAATCAGGGAACAATATTTTTTGATTTTGTATGAGATGTCTTTGCTGTTCCTTACACTTTGGTTTGCTTTTAGGGCAAAGACTGTAGCGTATTTCAACCTAAAAAGAAAAAGGTAGCAAGACAATGATAAGATATGAATTGTTGATAAATGTCCAGAGAGAACTCAGAGAGAGAGAGAGAGAGAGAGAGAGAGAGAGAGAGAGAGAAATGGGTTCCAGAGGTATAATATCTCTTCTTTTATGGCCGATGTGCTGCTGCATGCCATCTTTGAACTCTTCAAAGTTTACCCTTTTCTTTTCTTTTCCCTTAATCAGATATTCAGCATCCAGATTAACAATTTGCAAGCTCCTCGTATATATGTTTACATTGTTAAGTACGCAATTAGTAAGTATACTACATGCAACATTATACTTTATCGAGATTCAATTTATATAGGGTATATTGTTGCATGCATATTCAGTAAATACTATATATGTAACATTTTTTTTTATGTTAAGATTAAGTTTATGATGATATGATATGATATATGTAACTCGCTAGGGTTTGACAAGATTGTAAGCTCTATTGTGTTTCATGCTTATTAAAACACCATAAGAGAACACGTACACGAGGATAGGGTAGGTGAGGGTTCTTTTATGGACTTCTGCTCCTTAGTCACGAACTTATGGGGAGTTCTAGGGTTTGTGATTATAATAGCAGTATGCATGGGAACCTCTTCCTTATCCAGTGCTCAATCCTACCCACCAACGGAATGAGCCTATAACTAGAATACTAAAGTCCATAGGATTACTTTCTTTACAAGAATCCCTTATTGCCTTAGTAATTAAAACCAGTCATCAATATTACTTGTGGCACCAAAAATAGCTAACCATATACAACCCTAACTCTTATTTATCTCGACCACAACTATGTAAATCAATTAGAATTGAGCTTTAGAGTTCAATTCCAACAAGGGCGAAAACTTGATAACTACGTACCCTATAATATGATACGTACGTATCATAAAATGGTAAGTCACGGAAACAATAATTCTAAACACAAAAGAAAAGATTGTGTATGTACCGTATAAACATGATCCAACAATCATATCAAAATAAGGTTGTAAAATTTAATGATGAACAATTGGAGGGGATAAATATTTAAAACGTTTTTTTTTTGTTCTATTATTGTTCATGCTAATTAATTTTGCCATGCATGCAGGTTCATTGGGTTGCGAATCATTTGGAGAACAGTTGTTGAGATCAACCAAAAGGCTAGCAATTTCAATCAGTTCCTATGATCATGCAATTATTCGATTAGCATTCAATGTGAGGACTTATTATTTTCTGAGTGGATACTGAATTATAACTATGGAGATTGGAGACCCTCAATTATGTTATGGAAACGGTGAAAACATTGTCCTTGATTCAAAACACTAATAACACAAACGCGTTGCAAAGTAGAATTGGGTCAGAAATAATCCTCAAAGACAGTTTTAGAGGGAATATTTTTGCTCACCATCCTTAAGTGGTGGCGATGTTCACTACTCTATTTAACACTGTTAGATGAATTTAAATTTCGAGATTTGTGTCAAAAAATGTGTAATGAGTAGATACAAATCTCAAAATTTAAACTCATCCAAAGATCATAAGTAATGTAACGAGCACTACCACTGCTTGAGGACCATGAGAAAAAAATGCGACAAATTCAATCACACTCCACCAGCACACTACTTATTAATGAGGAATGCCAGTTATGTTCTCTTGTGTAGTTACTACCTTCTCCTTTCCAAACAACAATGAGACACTTTAATCACACCAATACCTTTGATGCTTATTATCCAGCATGATCTATGATTCTCTACCTACTAAACCAAGCACGTCTGTTGAGGTTAACTATATGAGTCACGTATTTTGTTGAAGATTATCTATGACAAAATTCAACCAAATTTGAAATCAATTAAATGCAATATTTCGATTAAACATTGGATTATCACAATATTAATCAAATAGTTAATGATTAAGAATTTTTTGAATGTTATTGATCAATCTCTTACCACCATATATTGCTACAAAAGGTTCTTCAGAATGTGATATGAACAACATTATTGTAAAATTTTTATTATTAATAATCTCATGTTTATGCATACATGACTTTCAATTATTGATGCAAGTGCGAACTATGTGTGCATGGTCAACTATCCCATGCACGCACTATCAACTTAAAATTTCTATATTTTCAATTAATGTTCTTAAAAATGAACTGTTTCAGTCATCATAACGCCACTAGAACCCTAATCTAGATTCGAAAGTGCATGCACGCAGTGGACCCATTGTTCCATAAATTATTACAGATATGAGAGACGAGACATAGGACATTGAAATCCATGAATATTTTGCAGATGAATTTAGAAGAAGAATGCACATTCGACTCGTGAGTGGTTAATGGTATACTTCTTCTATGTTTTATCCCTCCCAAGTATATCCAACCGGACGGTTTAAATTTGCCATCGATCTTTATTCCAGGTTTTGTTGCAGTCTTGCAGTTGTAGCAGAAGCAGCAGATAGCCAGTTGGATACGACACAAACCGCAGGATTGGTATCCAATGGCCTTT